TTTAATATACCCTATTTTTCCTCCTTCAGAAACTGCAATTTAAAACACGCTAAGAAACCCGAAATGTCAATATTTAAGGAGTTATGGCCATTTTAAAATACCATATTTTTCCTCTTTAAGAAACTGCAATTTAAAACACGCTAAAAAGCCCGAAATGTCAATATTTAAGGAGTTATGGCCATTTTAATATACCCTATTTTTCCTCTTTAAGAAACTGCAATTTAAAACACGCTAAAAAGCCCGAAATGTCAATATTTAAGGAGTTATGGCCATTTTAAAATACCCTATTTTTCCTCCTTCAGAAACTGCAATTTAAAACACGCTAAAAAGCCCGAAATGTCAATATTTAAGGAGTTATGGCCATTTTAAAATACCCTATTTTTCCTCCTTCAGAAACTGCAATTTAAAACACGCTAAGAAACCCGAAATGTCAATATTTAAGGAGTTATGGCCATTTTAAAATACCATATTTTTCCTCCTTCAGAAACTGCAATTTAAAAGACGCTAAAAAGCCCGAAATGTCAATATTTAAGGAGTTATGGCCATTTTAAAATATCCTATTTTTCCTCTTTAAGAAACTGCAATTTAAAACACGCTAAAAAGCCCGAAATGTCAATATTTAAGGATTTATGGCCATTTTAAAATACCCTATTTTTCCTCCTTCAGAAACTGCAATTTAAAATACGCTAAAAAACCCGAAATGTCAATATTTAAGGAGTTATGGCCATTTTAAAATACCCTATTTTTCCTCCTTCAGAAACTGCAATTTAAAACACGCTAAGAAACCCGAAATGTCAATATTTAAGGAGTTATGGCCATTTTAAAATACCATATTTTTCCTCCTTCAGAAACTGCAATTTAAAAGACGCTAAAAAGCCCGAAATGTCAATATTTAAGGAGTTATGGCCATTTAAAAAAAATAAAATAAAGAAATGTCAATATTTAAGGAGTTATGGCCATTTTAAAATACCCTATTTTTCCTCTTTAAGAAACTGCAATTTAAAACACGCTAAAAAGCCCGAAATGTCAATATTTAAGGAGTTATGGCCATTTTAAAATACCCCATTTTTCCTCTTTAAGAAACTGCAATTTAAAACACGCGAAAAAGCCCGAAATGTCAATATTTAAGGAGTTGTGGCCATTTTAAAATACCCTATTTTTCCTCTTTAAGAAACCGCAATTTAAAACACGCTAAAAAGCCCGAAATGTCAATATTTAAGGAGTTATTGCCATTTTAAAATACCCTATTTTTCCTCTTTAAGAAACTGCAATTTAAAACACGCTAAAAAGCCCGAAATGTCAATATTTAAGGAGTTATGGCCATTTTAAAATACCCTATTTTTCCTCCTGAAGAAACTGCAATTTAAAACACGCCAAAAAGCTCGAAATGTCAATATTTAAGGAGTTCTGGCCATTTTAAAATACCCTATTTTTCCTCCTTCAGAAACTGCAATTTAAAACACGCTAAAAAACCCGAAATGTCAATATTTAAGGAGTTATGGCCATTTTAAAATACCCTATTTTTCCTCTTTAAGAAACTGCAATTTAAAACACGCTAAAAAGCCCGAAATGTCAATATTTAAGGAGTTATGGCCATTTTAAAATACCCTATTTTTCCTCCTTCAGAAACTGCAATTTAAAAGACGCTAAAAAGCCCGAAATGTCAATATTTAAGGAGTTATGGCCATTTTAAAATACCCTGTTTTTCCTCTTTAAGAAACTGCAATTTAAAACACGCTAAAAAGCCCGAAATGTCAATATTTAAGGAGTTATGGCCATTTTAAAATACCCTATTTTTCCTCCTTCAGAAACTGCAATTTAAAACACGCTAAAAAACCCGAAATGTCAATATTTAAGGAGTTATGGCCATTTTAAAATACCCTATTTTTCCTCTTTAAGAAACTGCAATTTAAAACACGCTAAAAAGCCCGAAATGTCAATATTTAAGGAGTTATGGCCATTTTACAATACCCTATTTTTCCTCCTGAAGAAACTGCAATTTAAAACAAGCTAAAAAACCCGAAATGTCAATATTTAAGGAGTTATGGCCATTTTAAAATACCCTATTTTTCCTCTTTAAGAAACTGCAATTTAAAACACGCTAAAAAACCCGAAATGTCAATATTTAGGGAGTTATGGCCATTTTAAAATACCCTATTTTTCCTCTTTAAGAAACTGCAATTTAAAACACGCTAAAAAACCCGAAATGTCAATATTTTGGGAGTTATGGCCATTTTAAAATACCCTATTTTTCCTCTTTAAGAAACTGCAATTTAAAACACGCTAAAAAACCCGAAATGTCAATATTTAGGGAGTTATGGCCATTTTAAAATACCCTATTTTTCCTCTTTAAGAAACTGCAATTTAAAACACGCTAAAAAACCCGAAATGTCAATATTTAAGGAGTTATTGCCATTTTAAAATACCCTATTTTTCCTCTTGAAGAAACTGTAATTCAAAACACGCTAAAAAGCCCGAAATGTCGATATTTAAGGAGTTATGGCCATTTTAAAATACCCTATTTTTCCTCCTTCAGAAACTGCAATTTAAAACACGCTAAAAAGCCCGAAATGTCAATGTTTAAGGAGTTATGGCCATTTTAAAATACCCTATTTTTCCTCCCTCAGAAACTGCAATTTAAAACACGCTAAAAAGCCCGAAATGTCAATATTTAAGGAGTTATGGCCATTTTAAAATACTCTATTTTTCCTCCTGAAGAAACTGCAATTTAAAACACGCTAAAAAGCCCGAAATGTCAATATTTAAGGAGTTATGGCCATTTTAAAATACCCTATTTTTCCTCCTTAAGAAACTGCAATTTAAAACACGCTAAAAAACCCGAAATGTCAATATTTAAGGAGTTATGGCCATTTTAAAATACCCTATTTTTCCTCTTTAAGAAACTGCAATTTAAAACACGCTAAAAAACCCGAAATGTCAATATTTAGGGAGTTATGGCCATTTTAAAATACCCTATTTTTCCTCTTTAAGAAACTGCAATTTAAAACACGCTAAAAAACCCGAAATGTCAATATTTAAGGAGTTATTGCCATTTTAAAATACCCTATTTTTCCTCTTGAAGAAACTGTAATTCAAAACACGCTAAAAAGCCCGAAATGTCGATATTTAAGGAGTTATGGCCATTTTAAAATACCCTATTTTTCCTCCTTCAGAAACTGCAATTTAAAACACGCTAAAAAGCCCGAAATGTCAATGTTTAAGGAGTTATGGCCATTTTAAAATACCCTATTTTTCCTCCCTCAGAAACTGCAATTTAAAACACGCTAAAAAGCCCGAAATGTCAATATTTAAGGAGTTATGGCCATTTTAAAATACTCTATTTTTCCTCCTGAAGAAACTGCAATTTAAAACACGCTAAAAAGCCCGAAATGTCAATATTTAAGGAGTTATGGCCATTTTAAAATACCCTATTTTTCCTCCTGAGGAATCTGCAATTTAAAACACGCTAAAAAGCCCGAAATGTCAATATTTAAGGAGTTATGGCCATTTTAAAATACCCTATTTTTCCTCTTTAAGAAACTGCAATTTAAAACACGCTAAGAAACCCGAAATGTCAATATTTAAGGAGTTATGGCCATTTTAAAATACCCTATTTTTCCTCTTTAAGAAACTGCAATTTAAAACACGCTAAAAAACCCGAAATGTCGATATTTAAGGAGTTATGGCCATTTTAAAATACCCTATTTTTCCTCTTTAAGAAACTGCAATTTAAAACACGCTAAAAAGCCCGAAATGTCAATATTTAAGGAGTTATGGCCATTTTAAAATACCCTATTTTTCCTCTTTAAGAAACTGCAATTTAAAACACGCTAAAAAGCCCGAAATGTCAATATTTAAGGAGTTATGGCCATTTTAAAATACCCTATTTTTCTCCTGAAGAAACTGCAATTTAAAACACGCTAAAAAGCCCGAAATGACAATATTTAAGGAGTTATGGCCATTTTAAAATACCCTATTTTTCCTCTTTAAGAAACTGCAATTTAAAACACGCTAAAAAGCCCGAAATGTCAATATTTAAGGAGTTATGGCCATTTTAAAATACTCTATTTTTCCTCCTGAAGAAACTGCAATTTAAAAAACCCTAAAAAGCCCGAAATGTCAATATTTAAGGAGTTATGGCCATTTTAAAATACCCTATTTTTCCTCTTTAAGAAACTGCAATTTAAAACACGCTAAAAAGCCCGAAATGTCAATATTTAAGGAGTTATGACCATTTTAAAATACCCTATTTTTCCTCCTGAAGAAACTGCAATTTAAAACACGCTAAAAAGCCCGAAATGTCAATATTTAAGGAGTTATGGCCATTTTAAAATACCCTATTTTTTCTATTTAAGAAACTGCAATTTAAAACACGCTAAAAAGCCCGAAATGTCAATATTTAAGGAGTTATGGCCATTTTAAAATACCCTATTTTTCCTTTTTAAGAAACTGCAATTTAAAACACGCTAAAAAGCCCGAAATGTCAATATTTAAGGAGTTCTGGCCATTTTAAAATACTCTATTTTTCCTCCTGAAGAAACTGCAATTTAAAAAACCCTAAAAAGCCCGAAATGTCAATATTTAAGGAGTTATGGCCATTTTAAAATACCCTATTTTTCCTCCTTCAGAAACTGCAATTTTAAACAAGCTAAAAGGCCCGAAATGTCAATATTTAAGGAGTTATGGCCATTTTAAAATACCCTATTTTTCCTCCTGAAGAAACTGCAATTTAAAACACGCTAAAAAGCCCGAAATGTCAATATTTAAGGAATTATGGCCATTTTAAAATACCCTATTTTTCCTCCTGAAGAAACTGCAATTTGTGTCCTGTTAATATCCTTTTAATTTTTTTTATGGACCTTTTATGGACCTTTTAAAATTAATTTAAGAAATCCACGTCATTTAAAAAAATCACATTTATTGTCCTATGTCCACTGTGCCTATTTGAATAAAATATTGGATTTTGCGTCATTTCAAAAACAAAATCGATTTTTAATGAGATCCCATCCGATCGAAATCGAATTGGGTTCATAACAAGTTGTTCGTGACCAATAATCAATTTAAAGCAAAAATATTGAAATTATGCTTCATGTCACACTTCAATTTTGAAAATGCAGAAAATTATAATTATTGTTTGAAAGACAATTTCATACTGGCATCAACTGGAAGGAGAGCTGTACCGAAATAATAATAATATGGTTTGGAAAATGAATTTATTAACTTATCTCGCACTAATCTCCATCACATTAAAGGGGTTTGATTCTAAGGTAATATAAATTAATTTTTAAATAACATATTGTTTTAATTTTAAAATTAAAATGTTCTCCCTTAGAGGGCTGGCAAAACGTTGTATTTCTCTTCGTACACGGTGGAGTTCGACAAGACCTATATACAGGATCATCGTCTGAAATTGCAAAACACTTCGGTGGATGTTATTCTGAATATTGCCCGTGACTTTACCCAGGATCCTTGGATTGTGACGGAGATCTTTGTTAGGGAGAGAAGAAAGCCCGCGTTTCGTAAACTTATCAATTATGATGTGAATGTTTGCCACCTCCTGGGCAAGGGGGATATGAATCTGATAACGGTGTGGGTACAAAATTTCTTGAAAATGGGAAATTTACCAAGAAGTTGTCCCATTCGGAAGGTAAAAAAATTTTAATTCTTTTTTTTTTGCAATTTGTGGTTGGTGATTCATTTTTCTTTCCTTTCCTACAGGGCAACTATTCGTGGTATAAAATACGACCAGAAAAAGTGAATATACCCGATGTTTTACCTTCGGCCGAGTATAAAGTTTTAATTGGTACCTATTTTCGAAATGGCAAGCTGAGGCACTCGATAGATAATTTAACCTTTATGGGGTTACTGAAATGATATGTGCTTATACATCGAAGAATTGAAAATATTTATAGAATAAAATGGTTAAAGGATACGAACAATTTGTAAAAATAAGTGATTATTGTCCTGCTAAGATCCTCAAAAAATTTGTATAAAAGTCTACATTTATAGTCAGGATTATCAGGACCCTAATACCCCCTTTAATTATTTAAAAAGGCCACACTTACGCCCTCTAAACGTCCTTCTAAAATTACTTAAAAGTCCAGGATTATTTGGGTTTTAATATTTCTAAAGTTATTTAAAAAATCCGCATATATCCCTCTAATATCCTCTAAAAATCCACGATTATCGTCCTTCTAATTTCGTTTAAAAATTGTTTTAAAAATCCTCAAAAAATCCACGTTTAATGCCCTTCTAATATCCTTTAAAAATTATTAATAAAATCCAATTTTCCTGTCCTTTAAAAATTGTTTAAAAATCCACGTTTAATGCCCTTCTAATAACCTTCAAAAATTATTAATAAAATCCAATTTTCCTGTCCTTTAAAAATTGTTTAAAAATCCACGTTTAATGCCCTTCTAATAACCTTTAAAAATTATTAATAAAATCCAATTTTCCTGTCCTTTAAAAATTGCTTAAAAAATCCACGTTTAATGCCCTTCTAATATCCTTTAAAAATTATTAATAAAATCCAATTTTCCTGTCCTTTAAAAATTGTTTAAAAAATCCACGTTTGTCGCTTTTTTAATACCCTTTAAAAATTGTTTAAAAAATACATGTTTGTCGCTCTTTTAATACCCTTTAAAAATTGTTTAAAAAATCCACGTTTGTCGCCTTTTTAATACTCTTTAAAAATTGTTTAAAAAATACACGTTTGTCGCTCTTTTAATACCCTTTAAAAATTGTTTAAAAAATCCACGTTTGTCGCCTTTTTAATACTCTTTAAAAATTGTATAAAACATCCACGTTTATTGTCCTTCTAATATCCTTTAAAAGTTGTTTAAAAAATCCATGGTTATTGTCCTCCAAATATCCTTTAAAAATTGTTTAAAAAATCCACGTTTATTGTCTTTTTAATATCCTTTAAAAATTGTTTAAAAAATCCACGTTTATTGTCTTTTTAATATCCTTTAAAAATTGTTTAAAAAATCCACGTTTATTGCCCTCCAAATATCCTTTAAAAATTGTTTAAAAAATCCACTTTTATTCCTTTTAATATCCTTTAAAAATTGTTTAAAAAATCCAAGTTTATTGTCCTTCAAATATCTTTTAAAAATTGCTAAACTAAATTAACGCTAATTGTCCTTCTAATATCCTTTAAAATCAACGTTTTTTGTCCTCCAAATATCCTTTATAAATTGTTTAAAAAACCAATGTTTATTGCCCTCCAAATATCCTTTAAAAATTGTTTAAAAAATCCACGTTTATTGCCCTTCTAATATCCTTTGAAAATTGTTAAAAAAATCCACGTTTATTGTCCTTCTAATTTCCTTCAAAAATTGTTTAAAAATCTATGTTTATTGTCCTTCTAATTTAGTTCAAAAATTGTTTAAAAAATCCACGTTTATTGTCCTTCTAATTTCCTTCAAAAACTGTTTAAAAAATCCACGTTTATTGTCCTTCTAACATCCTTTAAAAATTGTTTAAAAAATCCAAGTTTATTGTCCTTCTAACATCCTTTAGAAATTGTTTAAAAATTCCACGTTTATTGTCCTTCTAACATCCTTTAAAAATTGTTTAAAAAATCCACGTTTATTGTCCTTCTAACATCCTTTAAAAATTGTTTAAAAAATCCACGTTTATTGTCCTTCTAACATCCTTTAAAAATTGTTTAAAAAATCCATGGTTATTGTCCTCCAAATATCCTTTAAAAATTGTTTTAAAAATCCACGTTTATTGTCTTTTTAATATCCTTTAAAAATTGTTTAAAAAATCCACGTTTATTGTCTTTTTAATATCCTTTAAAAATTGTTTAAAAAATCCACGTTTATTGTCTTTTTAATATCCTTTAAAAATTGTTTAAAAAATCCACTTTTATTCCTTTTAATATCCTTTAAAAATTGTTTAAAAAATCCAAGTTTATTGTTCTTCAAATATCTTTTAAAAATTGCTAAACTAAATTAACGCTAATTGTCCTTCTAATATCCTTTAAAATCAACGTTTTTTGTCCTCCAAATATCCTTTATAAATTGTTTAAAAAACCAATGTTTATTGCCCTCCAAATATCCTTTAAAAATTGTTTAAAAAATCCACGTTTATTGTCCTTCTAACATCCTTTAAAAATTGTTTAAAAAATCCAAGTTTATTGTCCTTCTAACATCCTTTAAAAATTGTTTAAAAAATCCACGTTTATTGTCCTTCTAACATCCTTTAAAAATTGTTTAAAAAATCCATGGTTATTGTCCTCCAAATATCCTTTAAAAATTGTTTAAAAAATCCACGTTTATTGTCTTTTTAATATCCTTTAAAAATTTTTTAAAAAATCCACGTTTATTGTCTTTTTAATATCCTTTAAAAATTGTTTAAAAAATCCACGTTTATTGCCATCCAAATATCCTTTAAAAATTGTTTAAAAAATCCACTTTTATTCCTTTTAATATCCTTTAAAAATTGTTTAAAAAATCCAAGTTTATTGTCCTTCAAATATCTTTTAAAAATTGCTAAACTAAATTAACGCTAATTGTCCTTCTAATATCCTTTAAAATCAACGTTTTTTGTCCTCCAAATATCCTTTATAAATTGTTTAAAAAACCAATGTTTATTGCCCTCCAAATATCCTTTAAAAATTGTTTAAAAAATCCACGTTTATTGCCCTTCTAATATCCTTTGAAAATTGTTAAAAAAATCCACGTTTATTGTCCTTCTAATTTCCTTCAAAAATTGTTTAAAAATCTATGTTTATTGTCCTTCTAATTTAGTTCAAAAATTGTTTAAAAAATCCACGTTTATTGTCCTTCTAATTTCCTTCAAAAACTGTTTAAAAAATCCACGTTTATTGTCCTTCTAACATCCTTTAAAAATTGTTTAAAAAATCCAAGTTTATTGTCCTTCTAACATCCTTTAAAAATTGTTTAAAAAATCCACGTTTATTGTCCTTCTAACATCCTTTAAAAATTGTTTAAAAAATCCACGTTTATTGTCCTTCTAACATCCTTTAAAAATTGTTTAAAAAATCCACGTTTATTGTCCTTCTAACATCCTTTAAAAATTGTTTAAAAAATCCACGTTTATTGTCCTTCTAACATCCTTTAAAAATTGTTTAAAAAATCCATGGTTATTGTCCTCCAAATATCCTTTAAAAATTGTTTAAAAAATCCACGTTTATTGTCTTTTTAATATCCTTTAAAAATTGTTTAAAAAATCCACGTTTATTGTCTTTTTAATATCCTTTAAAAATTGTTTAAAAAATCCATGGTTATTGTCCTCCAAATATCCTTTAAAAATTGTTTAAAAAATCCACGTTTATTGTCTTTTTAATATCCTTTAAAAATTGTTTAAAAAATCCACGTTTATTGTCTTTTTAATATCCTTTAAAAATTGTTTAAAAAATCCACGTTTATTGTCTTTTTAATATCCTTTAAAAATTGTTTAAAAAATCCACGTTTATTGCCATCCAAATATCCTTTAAAAATTGTTTAAAAAATCCACTTTTATTCCTTTTAATATCCTTTAAAAATTGTTTAAAAAATCCAAGTTTATTGTTCTTCAAATATCTTTTAAAAATTGCTAAACTAAATTAACGCTAATTGTCCTTCTAATATCCTTTAAAATCAACGTTTTTTGTCCTCCAAATATCCTTTATAAATTGTTTAAAAAACCAATGTTTATTGCCCTCCAAATATCCTTTAAAAATTGTTTAAAAAATCCACGTTTATTGTCCTTCTAACATCCTTTAAAATTTGTTTAAAAAATCCAAGTTTATTGTCCTTCTAACATCCTTTAAAAATTGTTTAAAAAATCCACGTTTATTGTCCTTCTAACATCTTTTAAAAATTGTTTAAAAAATCCACGTTTATTGTCCTTCTAACATCCTTTAAAAATTGTTTCAAAAATTCGCGGTCATTGTCCTTCTAATATCCTTTAGAAATTGTTTAAAAAATCTACATTTATTGTCCTTCTAACATCCTTTAAAAATTGTTTAAGAAATCCACGTTTATTGTCCTTCTAACATCCTTTAAAAATTGTTTAAAAAATCCACGTTTATTGTCCTTCTAGCATCCTTTAAAAATTGTTTAAAAATCCACGTTTATTGTCCTTCTAACATCCTTTAAAAACTGTTTAAAAAAAACCATGTTTATTGTCCTTCTAACATCCTTTAAAAATTGTTTAAAAAATCCACGTTTATTGTCCTTCTAACATCCATTAAAAATTGTTTAAAAAATTCTCGTTTATTGTCCTTCTAATATCATTTAAAAAATCCACGTTTATTGTCCTTCCACTATCCCTTAAAAATTGTTTAAAAATTCCACGTTTATTGTCTTTCGAATATCCTTTAAACATTGTTTAAAAAATGCACGTTTATTGTCCTCCAAATATCCTTTAAAAATTGTTTAATTAAACCACGTTTATTGTCCTCCAAAAATATGCTTTAAAAATTGCTTAAAAAATCCACGTTTATTGTCCTTCTAATATCCTTTAAAAATTGTTTAAAAAATCCACGTTTATTGTCCATCAAATATCCTTTAACATTTTTTAAAAAATCCACGTTTATTGTCCTCCAAATATATTTTAAATTTTTTTTAAAAAATCCACGCTTATTGTCATTTTAATATCCTCTAAAATTGTTTAAAATTCCACGCTTATTGTCCTTCTAATATCCTTTAAAAATTGTTTAAAAAACCCATGTTTATTGTCCTTTAAAAATTGCTTAAACAATCCACGTTTATTGTCCTCCTAATATCCTTAAAAAAATTTTTTTAAAAAATCCACGTTTATTGTCCTTCTAATATCCTCCTTGGCTTTCTTAAACAGGTCCTTTAAAATTGTTAAAATTGTTTTTAAATTCTCATATTTTATTTTACAAAACCTCTCAATTATTTCCCACTTAAAATCGTTCTCATTTTACGCTCAGTGCAAATGTCCTTGCTCCTCTTTTACTCTGTTTATTTCATTGAGAAAATTGAATAATTTCCAAAACAAATGTCACGTTATTTTAGCTCACAAATAATGGTTAAATTATCTATAGATTGTCGCCGCTTGCCATTTCGAAAATATGTATCAACCTGAATTTTATACTCGGCTGAGGGGAAAACATCGGGTATGTTAACTTTTTCCGGTCGTAATTTATACCATGAATAATTGCCCTGTAATCATGAGAGGGAAAATATTATTAAAAAATAATAAAAAATTTTAAAAATTCAATCATCAACCTTTCTAATGGGACAACTTTTGGGTAAGCTGCCAAATTTCAAGAAATTCTGGACCCACACAGTTATTAAATTTGCATCCTCCTTGCCCAAAATATTGCAAACATTCACATCATAATTGATGAGTTTACGAAAATTGGCGCTTTTACGCTCCTTGACAAAGAGTGCTGTCACAATCCATGGATCAAATGGATAATCTTGGGCAACATTCAAAATAACATCCACAGAGGTGTTGCGCAGATTGAGGCGATGCTCCTCGATATAGGTGCTATCGAATTCCACTTTGTACGAGTAAAAATACAAGGTTTTTCTCTGGAAGAAAAGATAAATTAGGAGATTACAGAATATTCGAAAAACAAAAATTATTTACCTTAGCCGCAAGACCCTCAAAAACCATTGAGGTCACCATTACATAAAATAATAAATTTATTTTCCAAATCATTTTTCCCAGTTTTTAGTTTTTCGTCCTAAAGTTCGTACTGATAGTAATTTTGAAAAAAAATATTTTATTATTTCAAATCCAAATCAGTCAGACAATGAGCTAGGGGCTTGTCCAATTTCAATAATTTGGAATTTTTAATTTGTTTATTCGCTACGAACTATTAAATATGAAGCTATTTATAACTCACTTAGATGGCACCAGATATGGATTTTATAGTTGAGTGAATTCAAATTAAAAAACATTTAATTACATCACGACCAGTGATGTCAATCTGCCAAAAAAAATAGAAGGAATAATATTTACAATTTTTTAAATAAATTTTTGGGCGGCAAATTATCCCACAAGATCTAGATTTTTTTTACCAATTATAGGAGAATACAAGAAGGACGATAAACATAGAGTTATTTAGAAAATGTTTGGAGGATATTAGAAGAACAAGAAATGTGGATTTTTTTAAACAATTTTGAGGGCATTATAAGGACATTAAACGTGGATTTTTTAAACAATTTGTAAAGGATATTAGAAGGACAATAAACGTGGATTTTTTAAACAATTTTTCAAGGATATTCGGAGGATTATGAGCGTGGATTTTTAAACAATTTTTCAAGGATATTCGGAGGATTATAAGCGTGGATTTTTTAAACAATTTTTCAAGGATATTCGGAGGATTATAAGCGTGGATTTTTTAAACAATTTTTCAAGGATATTCGGAGGATTATAAGCGTGGATTTTTTAAACAATTTTTCAAGGATATTCGGAGGATTATAAGCGTGGATTTTTTAAACAATTTTTCAAGGATATTCGGAGGACAATAATTTTTTTTAAACAATCTTTCAAGGATATTCGGAGGACAAAAATTTTTTTTAAACAATCTTTCAAGGATATTCGGAGGAAAATAATTTGTTTAAACAATTTTTCAAGGATATTCGAAGGACAATAAGCGTGGATTTTTTAAACAATTTTAAGGACATTAAACGTGGGTTTTTTAAACAATTTTTAAAAAATTTTTTTAAACAATTTTTCAAGGATATTCGGAGGACAATAAGCGTGGATTTTTTAAACAATTTTTCAAGGATATTCGGAGAACAATAGGCGTGGATTTTTTAAACAATTTTTCAAGGATATTCGGAGGACAATAGGCGTGGATTTTTTAAACAATTTTTCAAGGATGTTAGAAGGACAATAAACGTGGATTTTTAAATATTTTTTTAAGGATGTTAGAAGGACAATAAGCATAGATTTTTTAAATATTTTTTAAAGGATGTTAGAAGGACAATAAACGTGGATTTTTTAAACAATTTTTCAAGGATATTCGGAGGATTATGAGTGTGGATTTTTTAAACAATTTTTAAAAGATATTCGGAGGATAATAAGCGTGGAATTTTTAAACAATTTTTAAAGGATGTTAGAAAGACAGTAAGCGTGGATTTTTTAAACAATTTTTAAAGGATATTCGGAGGATAATAAGCGTGGATTTTTTAAACAATTTTTAAAGGATATTCGGAGGATAATAAGCGTGGATTTTTTAAAAAAATTTTAAAGAATATTCGGCGAATAATAAGCGTGGATTTTTTTTAACAATTTTTAAAGGATATTCGGAGAATAATAAGCGTGGATTTTTTAAACAATTTTTAAAGGATATTCGGAGGATAATAAGCGTGGATTTTTTAAACAATTTTTAAAGGATATTCGGAGGATAATAAGCGTGAGTTTTTTAAACAATTTTTAAAGGATATTCGGAGGACAATAATTTTTTTAAACAATTTTTCAAGGATATTCGGAGGGCAATAAGCGTGGATTTTTTAAACAATTTTTCAAGGATATTCGGAGGGCAATAAGCGTGGATTTTTTAAACAATTTTTAAAGACTATTCAAAGGACAATAAACGTGGAAGGACGGACAATAAACATGGATTTTTTAAACAATTTTTAAAGGATATTCGAAGGACTATAAACGTGGATATTTTTTAACAATTTTTAAAGGATATTCGAAGAACAATTTAACAATGGACCCACATCCAATTTTTCTTTCCGAAAACTATTTCAACGACTCCATATGTAAACCCTAGAAACAAACAATGACTTCAACATCAAATTTCAAGTTTTCAACTCTATCCCATCACCCAATAAGAAATTTGGTAACATTTAACCCATATAGCCAAACCAATCTCTCCATTATAGACACCTAAAATGATCCAAAAATAGTATGATTTAGCAATTTTTGGACAATTATAGAACTTATTTGAAAAACCAACACCAGATCGAAACAGCAGATACCAGCAGAGGCATCCATATCAAATTTGAGAATTCCAGCTCTATCCCTTCACTCAAGAACATATTTAGTACTTTTCGTACAATTATGGTACATATTTTCAAAACCATCTGAATATCTTAACACCATATAAAAATAGAGACCTCAATATCAAATATGAGGATTCCAGATCTATCCCTTCATCGCAATGTCCAATTTAGTACCACTTAGTACTTTTCGTAAAATTATAGTACAATTCCAAGACCACCTCTATATCTTAATCCCAGATACCAACAAAGACCTCAATATCAAATTTCGAGATTCTAGCTGTATCTCTTCACTTAATACCCAATTTAGTACTTTCGTAATAATAGAAAATTTTCTAGACCATTTCCACATCTTTCGAACAATTAGATAACAAATTTTCAAAACCTCCTCCTTCTCAACACCTGATACCAATAGAGACCTCAATATAAAATTGCACGGTTTCAGCTCCATTCCTTAACCCAATAACAAATTTGGTACTATTTACCAAACCACCTTCATATTTCAATCCTCGATACCAACAGGGACCTCAATATGAAATCGCACGGTTTCATCTCAATCCCTTCTCCCAATATCCAATTTAGTACCACTTGTCGAACAAGTAAGTACATATTTCCTAGATGGTCTAGGATTTTAATCCCAGAGACCTCAATATCAAATTTGCAGTACACATTTCCGAAACCACCTTCATATGTCCAGGTACCAAATTTTGATTTCAAGTACTACTTTTCACCCAATACCAAATTGTACCAAATATAGTACTATTTAGAACATTTGGTGCACTTATAGTGCACATTTCCAAAACCACCCTCTGATTACAAAACCAACACCAAAACGGACCCCAATGCAAAATTCCAGCATTCTCGTTCACCCTAAACCAAACTGTACTACATTTAGTACCATTTAGTAGAGTTCGCATACTTAGGACTAATTTTCAAAAGCCAACTTCATATATCAAACTTTCTTTCCAACCTTGATTCTCATACCCAATTTCAAGTTTTTAGCTTTATCCGATCACATAATACCAAATTTAGTACCATTTTACAATTTTTCATAACTTTAAAGTTCAAATTTCCAAAAAAAAACTTTGTTACATATATTCTACACTCCCTCGGTGACATTCCTACTAAATTTCAGATTTGAACCTCGTTCCGTTTGTCCCATACAAAGTATTTAATTTTTAGTACATTTGAATACCTATCGTACTTTTTAGTACGAATTTTTAATTGGTTTTTTAGAATGCAATCGTTGCAATTAGCAATTTTTTTAATGAACTTTTTCCATTAACCAAAAATTTTTTTTCGATCACTGAACTGTTTATACGATTAAATATAGATTCTAATATTTAATTTTTTAAATCACTGGCAAAATGTCGTCGGTCAACACAGGAACATGGTTTCGAAATTTTGTGCTTATATTTTTAATTCCATTGCATTTTGTATTAGCCTCTGAAAAACTGTATAGCTATGTCTCAGCTACAGCCGAATATAAAAGTGAGTTCTTTTCCGATTTAGATATGTCTATAAAGAATGGTTCCATGGATGTAATTGTGAATACAATCAAGGACTTTACTACTGATCCTTGGGTAAGATTACTGGTACTCATGAGACGTTCACAGTCGGCCAAGAATCGAACGCTACTCCACTACGACATCAATGTTTGTAAAATTTTGGGTAGACAGCAGACCAATTTCCTGTCCACATGGCTGCAGAATTATTTTCGTTTGGGCAATATGCCTTCGGAATGTCCTATTAGGAAGGTAAAGAGGGGAGTAATAAAAGTTGGAATTTTTTTGATAAACGTTATTCTTTTCCTTTTTTGTAGGGCAACTACTCCTGGTGCAATCTCAGGCCGGAGATGTTAAGCATGCCAATGTTCTTTTCCAAGGGACAATATATAGGTGGAGCCAATATTTATTTTCGCAAGAGAGGGATAAAGAATTCCATAGCTAATCTTACGACAATAATGGAAATAAAGTGAATATATATGGATATGGACAAAAAAACGGAAATTTTTAAAACAATTTTAGAAGGATATTATAAAGGAACATAAGAGTGGACTTTTTTAAAAAAATTTAGGAGGATATTAAAAGGACTTTAAACGTGGATTTTTTAAGCAACTTTCAAAGGATATTAGAAGGACAATAAACGTGGATTTTTTAAACAATTTTTTAAGGATATTAGAAGGACAATAAAGAGGGATTTTTTAAATAATTTTTTAAGGATATTAGAAGGACAATGAACTTGATTTTTTTAACACAATTTTAGGAGGATCCATAAAGGACAGCAAATGTGGATTTTTTAAACAATTTTTAAAGGATATTAGAAGGACAATAAACGTGGATTTTTTAAACCATTTTTTAAGGATATTGTAAGGATAAATAAAGTGGATTTTTAGACATTTTTTTTGGATATTGGAAGGACAATAAATGTGGATTTTTTTAAATAATTTTTAAAGGTTATTAGAAGGACAATAAACGTGGATTTTTTAAACCAATTTTTAAAGGACAATAAACGTGGATTTTTTAAACAATTTTTAAAGGTTACTAGAAGGACAATAAATGGGATTTTTTAAAATAATTTTTAAAGGTTACTAGAAGGACAATAAATGTGGATTTTTTAAACCAATTTTTAAAGGACAATAAACGTGAATTTTTTACACAATTTTAGGAGGATCCATGAAGGACAGCAAACGTGGATTTTTTAAACAATTTTTAAAGGATATTAGAAGGACAATAAACGTGGATTTTTTAAAATAATTTTTAAAGGTTATTAGAAGGACAATAAACGTAAGTTTTTTAAACAATTTTAAAGGATATTAGAAGGACAATAAACGTGGATTTTTTAAATAATTTTTGAAGGTCACTAGAAGGACAATAAATGTGGATTGTTTAAACCAATTTTTAAAGGACAATAAACGTTAATTTTTAAACAATTTTTAAAGGTTACTAGAAGGACAATAAATGTGTATTTTTTTTAAATAATTTTTAAAGGACAATAAACGTTAATTTTTAAACAATTTTTAAAGGTTACTAGAAGGACAATAAATGTGGATTTTTTTTAAATAATTTTTAAAGGTTACTAGAAGGACAATAAATGTGGATTTTTTAAACCAATTTTTAAAGGACAATAATCGTGGATTTTTTAAACAATTTTTAAAGGTTACTAGAAGGACAATAAATGTGGATTTTTTTTAAATAATTTTTAAAGGTTACTAGAAGGACAATAAATGTGGATTTTTTAAACCAATTTTTAAGGGACAATAAACGTGGATTTTTTAAACAATTTTTAAAGGATATTAGAAGGACAATAAACGTGGATTTTTTATATAATTTTTGAAGGTTACTAGAAGGACAATAAATGTGGATTTTTTAAACCAATTTTTAAAGGACAATAAACGTGGATTTTTAAACAATTTTTAAAGGTTACTAGAAGGACAATAAATGTGGATTTTTTTAAAATAATTTTTAAAGGTTACTAGAAGGACAATAAATGTGGATTTTTTAAACCAATTTTTAAAGGACAATAAACGTGGATTTTTAAACAATTTTTAAAGGTTACTAGAAGGACACTAAATGTGGATTTTTTTTAAATAATTTTTAAAGGTTACTAGAAGGACAATAAATGTGGATTTTTTAAACCAATTTTTAAAGGACAATAAACGTGGATTTTTTAAACAATTTTTGAAGGAAATTAGAAGGACAATAAACAGGTATTTTTTAAATAATTTTTTAAGGATATTAGAAGGACAATGAACTTGATTTTTTTAAAACAATTTTAGGAGGATCCACAAAGGACAGCAAACGTGGATTTTTTAAACAATATTTAAAGGATATTAGAAGGACAATAAACATGGGCTTTTTAAACAATTTTTAAGGATATTAGAAGGACAATGAACTTGATTTTTTTAAACAATTTTAGGAGGATCCATGAAGGACAGCAAACGTGGGTTTTTTAAACAATTTTTAAAGGATATTAGAAGGACAATAAACGTGGGTTTTTTAAACCATTTTTTAAGGATATTGTAAGGATAATTAAAGTGGATTTTTAGACATTTTTTTTGGATATTGGAAGGACAATAAATGTGGATTTTTTTAAATAATTTTTAAAGGTTATTAGAAGGACAATAAACGTGGATTTTTTAAACCAATTTTTAAAGGACAATAAACGTGGATTTTTTAAACCAATTTTTAAAGGACAATAAACGTGGATTTTTTAAACAATTTTTAAAGGTTACTAGAAGGACAATAAATGGGATTTTTTTAAATAATTTTTAAAGGTTACTAGAAGGACAATAAATGTGGATTTTTTAAACCAATTTTTAAAGGACAATAAACGTGAATTTTTTACACAATTTTAGGAGGATCCATGAAGGACAGCAAACGTGGATTTTTTAAACAAATTTTAAAGGATATTAGAAGGACAATAAACGTGAATTTTTTACACAATTTTAGGAGGATCCATGAAGGACAGCAAACGTGGATTTTTTAAACAATTTTTAAAGGATATTAGAAGGACAATAAACGTGGATTTTTTAAAATATTTTTTAAAGGTTATTGGAAGGACAATAAACGTAAGTTTTTTAAACAATTTTAAAGGATATTAGAAGGACAATAAACGTGGATTTTTTAAATAATTTTTGAAGGTCACTAGAAGGACAATAAATGTGGATTGTTTAAACCAATTTTTAAAGGACAATAAACGTTAATTTTTAAACAATTTTTAAAGGTTACTAGAAGGACAATAAATGTGGATTTTTTTAAAATAATTTTTAAAGGTTACTAGAAGGTTGGTTTTTTAAACCAATTTTTAAAGGACAATAAACGTGGATTTTTTAAACAATTGTTGAAGGAAATTAGAAGGACAATAAACGTGGATTTTTTAAACAATTTTTGAAGGAAATTAGAAGGACAATAAACGTGGATTTTTTAAACAATTTTTAAAGGATATTAAAAGGACGATCAACGTTGATTTTTTAAACAATTTTTAAAGGATATTAAAAGGACGATAAACGTGGATTTTTTAAACATTTTTTAAAGGATATTAAAAGGAATCCAAACGTGGATTTTTTAAACATTTTTTAAAGGATATTAAAAGGAATCCAAACGTGGATTTTTTAAACATTTTTTAAAGGATATTAAAAGGACGATAAACGTGGATTTTTAAACATTTTTTAAAGGATATTAAAAGGAATCCAAACGTAGATTTTTTAAACATTTTTAAAGGATATTAAAAGGAATCCAAACGTAGATTTTTTAAACATTTTTAAAGGATATTAAAAGGAATCCAAACGTAGATTTTTTAAACATTTTTAAAGGATATTAAAAGGAATCCAAATGTGGATTTTTTAAACAATTTTTAAAGGATAATAAAAAAAATTTGGAAGATCAATGAAGGACACTCTTTTTTAACAGTTTTAAGAGATTAATAGACTCGGCTTTTTTAAACAGTTTTGGGAAAATCCATAAAGGACACTAAGCGGGAACTTTCTAGGTTATTCTGGAGGATGCATATAGAGAATAACCGTGGATTTTATAAAACATTTTAGGACGATCGACGAGGACACCGAACTTGGATTTTTAAACAATTTAGAAAGTTTATACAACTTTAGGATGATTTATGAATGATAATAAGGTTGAATATTTATACAGTCTTAAGAGGATCTTAAAGGGCACTAATCTTGGATTTTTTAACAATTTTAGGAGGATCTGTAAAGAATACTAAGCGTTGATTTTTGTACAATTTTAGGATAATTTATAAAGGTCACTTGTCGTAGATTTTATACAATTTTAGGAGGATTTAGGGAGGACTCAGAAAAGACGATGATAGTGAATTTTTCAAACAATTTTAAAAGGGATCCCCCCTCGGACTTAAAGCATGGATGTTTATTCAATATTTGGAGGCTCCAGAAATAAAACAAAGAGTGAATATTCTAAACGATTTTGCAACGGTCTCCAAAGGACTCTAGAAGTGAATTTTTAAAATAATTTTAAAACATCCATAAAGGACTATAATCGTAAATTTTCCAAGCAACTGTAAGAGGATTCATAAATAACTACAAACTTGTACTACTTTCCTGGCTTTTAGAAAATAAAACCAAAAACTTAAGCCACCCTGTGTCCTTTTCATAATTCAACTGTGAAAGGATACGAAATTTGTGTCTGATTGGCTCTCTCTCTCTCTTTCTCTTCATTTCAGGTAGAAGGATTATTGAATATTTTGAGAGATCATCCCTTATAGAACTGTAAAACCATTTGATGACATTTCTGTTTTAATCATGTGCTGCTTCATTTCACCGCAAATAATTCTCATTCACTTAGGAAAATTGTTCACTTAAAGTGTTATCCTTGTTCAGTGTTTGGTTATCGCTTCTCGGCCTTATGGCTAAGATCAAAGTGTAGTATCTGTTCTTATCAGCTTAACATCTGATAGATCCTCCATCGGAGGACAACAAATGTTAAACTGATTTTTGGAAATTGACGGAAGTTTTCAAGGGGCTTGCTCCACTTCTGTCACGGGTTGGCCCGGTATTGCAGTACCGCCGGGATTTCGACCCACTTTACTTAAATACATTGAAGTGGTTATTTAATTAATTTCTTCGTGGATTTTAATAACATAATTCGAAAGATAATAAGAATCTATCTTAAGAGAGCATTTCTTAAGGATTTTCTTCGAAGATTATTTTAGAATATTTTCGAAAAAATTCTGATTCAATAGTTGTATTTTTAAATAGTATTTTTTGGTAGACTATCTGATACACATTTGCGGGCTTTTAAATAAAATTTTTTAAGCGCTTCAGGGTACCAACTGTGGACTTCTGAAGAATAATTTTTGAAGGACGGACAACTCGTGGATTTTTAAAGAATTATTTTGAAGGACAATACGTGGATTTCTAAAGAATAGTTTTTGAGGGATCATTCGTGGATTTCTAAAGAATAGTTTTTGAAGGATCATTCGTGGATTTCTAAAGAATAGTTTTTGAAGGTTCATTCGTGGATTTTCAATTTCTTGAAGAAATAACAGAGCTGTGTTTAATGGGGGATTAGATCTCCATTAGTGGATTTTTGAAAGATATTTTTGGAGGGCTCTCTTATCATTATTCGTAGAATTTTAAGTAATATTTTTTGAAGCATTAATCCCGGGCTAGGCAAAAAGTATCCCATGGGATGTCTGTGTGTTTACCAACACAATTTTAAAAAATAAATTGTTTTGCATTTTCTGCAAATTGGTTTTGGGGGAATATTTAGTCTTGTTCGAGCAGTCGTTGTCAACGTCTCAAAAGCTCTTCAAAAATATTATTTAAAAAGTCCATGTCTCGAAGGCTCTTCAAAAATATTCTTTAAAAGTCTTCATCAAAAATATTCTTTAAAAAGTCCATGTCTCGAAGGTTCTTCAAAAAATATCCTTCAAAACTCCATGCTCTTAAAAAAATCAACGTCCCGAAACCTCTTCAAAGATATCCTTTAAAAAAGTATCCAAAAAATATTCTTTAAAAAGTCCACGTCTCGAAGGCTCTTCAAAAAATATTCTATAAAAAGTCCACGTCTCGAAGGCTCTTCAAAAAATATTATTTAAAAAGTTCACGTCTCGAAGGCTCTTAAAAAAAAAATTCTTTAAAAATTCCACGTCTCAAAGGCTCTTCAAAAAATATTCTTTAAAAAGTCCACGTCTCGAAGGCTCTTCAAAAATTATTCTTTAAAAAGTCCACGTCTCGAAGGTTCTTCAAAAAAAAAAATTCTTTAAAAAGTCCACGTCTCGAAGGCTTTTCAAAAAAAATTCTTTAAAAAGTCCACGTCTCGAAGGCTCTTCAAAAAAAAGTTATTTAAAAAGTCCACGTCCCAAAGGCTCTTCAAAAAATATTCTTTAAAAAGTTCGCGTCTCGAAGGCTCTTAAAAAAATATTCTTTAAAAAGTCCACGTCTCGAAGGCTCTTCAAAAAAAATTCTTTAAAAAGTCCACGTCTCGAAGGCTCTTCAAAAAAAATATTTTTTAAAAAGTCCGCGTCTCGAAGGCTCTTTAAAAAATATTCTTTAAAAAGTCCACGTCCCAAAGGCTCTTCAAAAAATATTCTTTAAAAAGTTCACGTCTCGAAGGCTCTTCAAAAAATATTCTTTAAAAAGTCCACGTCTAGAAGGCTCTTCAAAAATTATTCTTTAAAAAGTCCACGTCTCGAAGACTCTTAAAAAAATATTCTTTAAAAAGTTCACGTCTCGAAGGCTCTTAAAAAAATATTATTTAAAAAGTCCACGTCTCGAAGACTCTTCAAAAAATATTCTTTAAAAAGTCCATATCTCGAAGGCTCTTCAAAAAAAATTCTTTAAAAAGTCCACGTCTCGTAGGCTCTTCAAAAAAAATTCTTTAAAAGGTCCACGTCTCGAAGGCTCTTCAAAAAATATTTTTTAAAAAGTCCACATCTCGAAGGCTCTTCAAAAAATATTCTTTAAAAAGTCCACGTTTCGAAGGTCCTTCAAAAAATATTCTTTAAAAAGCCCACGTCTCGAAGGCTCTTCAAAAAAAATTCTTTAAAAAGTCCCCGTCTCGAAGGCTTTTCAAAAAAAAATTCTTTAAAAAGTCCCCGTCTCGAAGGCTTTTCAAAAAATATTCTTTAAAAAGTCCACATCTCTAAGGCTCTTCAAAAAATATTCCTTAAAAAGTCCACGTCTCGAAGGCTCTTCAAAAAATATTCTTTAAAAAGTCCACGTCTCGAAGTCTCTTCAAAAAATATTCTTTAAAAAGTCCACGTCTCGAACGCTCTTCAACGAATTTGAAAACAAATATAAAAAAAAATTAAAAAAAAATTTATTATTAAAAAAGTCCTAATTATTCATGGATTTTTTTGAAAAATTATGAGAGCTTAATTCACAGATTTTTGAATAATATTTTTTTCAAAGAACTCTTAATTTTTAAAATCTAACCTTCATTCCTTGAAATCTGTATTTATGTTTTCAAATCAAGTTTTTTAATAGTTCCTCGTGCCGAAAACATAACAAGCTCATTATGTTATATCATATCTTGAATAATTACAACATTTAATAACCGCAAATTAAAATTGAAACTACTTCCTCTTTTCCACGCGCATTTCCGATCATTTCAATCAACCATACCCAAGCAACTACAACCCAATGCGGAGTGAATCCACAATTTTCTCTCTCCCAATATTTATTACATTGGCCTTGATTCTTGGCCATCTGACGATGACAATCCTTGGCCAACAAATCCTATTCACCTCTGCCGATGTGAAATCCAATTCAACCTTTTTCCAAGAATTTGCAATGGTGGCCCAAAACGGTTCATTGGATATTTTCATGAATATTACACAAGACTTTCCACAGGATCCGTGGATTAGCATGGCGATATTAATGAAGATCCCTAATAAGACCGAGCATCGTAAATTGCTGCAATACAATGTGAATATGTGTAAAATACTGAGTAAAAATGAACGCAGCTTGATCTCGATATGGCTGCAGAATATCTTCAAACTGGGTGATATACCGAAAAAATGTCCCATCATAGAGGTAATGTGGAAGTATCAGATATTAAAATATATTTTATATCATAAATTTCCCCCCTTTTTTAGGGTTACTACACTTGGTGTGGCTTGCGACCGGAGATGTTAAACATACCGCCATTCTTTGCTCGCGGTGAATATTGTGTCAAAATGGAATTATATTTTCGCCAAAGGAAACCAAAACTATCTCTAGCCAATATGACAATTATTGTTGAGAAAAAATGATGCGGCAATAAAATAAATTATTATTTGTTCAACAAATAAGTTTTATAATTTATTTACAAAATTATGTCGAGATCCCTATTATCCTTCCATCTGTACCACTTGCCATCCTTAAAACTAAAAGTGACATTTATTATTGTAAAGGTGGGCCGAAATCCCGGCGGTACTGCAATACCGGGCCAACCCGCGACAGAAGTGGAGCAAGCCCTTTGAAAACTTCCGTCAATTTTCAAAAATCAGTTTAACATTTGTTGTCCTCCGATGGAGGATCTATCAGATGTTAAGCTGATAAGAACAGATACTACACTTTGATCTTAGCCATAAGGCCGAGAAGCGATAACCAAACACCGAACAAGGATAACACTATGAGTGAAAAAATTTCCCAAGTGAATGAGAATTATTTGCGGGCGAAATGAAACAGCATATGATATTAAGATCACTTTTATGAGGGAGAATCTTTCAAAGGATTAGTCCCTTTACCTGAAATAAAATGAGTGTGCGAGAGAGAGCCAAGCAGCAATAAATGTGCATAATTAAATTGTGAGAGAGTGTATGAGCGTGGTCGAGCATTCACCCTCAAAAATAGCTGACGTAGAGAGAAAAAAATAATACGCGAATACGCATATAACCAGTGCCGCTAAAGTACGTTTTTTTTGGCAGTTTTGTACATCTGTTTTATTTTCAGATCTCTTAAAAGACTACATGAGAGAGAGTGAGAGGGAGAAAGAGCAACAAATGTCTCTTTCCTTAACAACGTTGAGTAAAGAAGGATATAGTGGCAAATATTTTTGGATTTTTTTTTCTAAACCCAAGGAAGTTATTTGGCTATTTGAAAATTCGCGATTATGGTCTATAAAGGATCCTCTGAAATTGTTTGAATATTCACATATATTGTCCTTAATAAAACTTACTAATGGATATTTTTTAAAATTTCCAAAAAAAAACACCTTCATGGATCCTACTAAAATTGTTTACCAATCATCGTTACTCGACCATTATGGAACACACTTAAATAGTTTAAAAAATCCACTTTCGGTTTAATTAAAAATCCTTTAAAAATAAAAAACACGATTGGTAAATTTCATGAATTCACAGAAAATTGATCAAAAAATCCACATTTGACATTCATTTTAAATTCGCCCAATTTTTTTTAAAAAATTCCGAATTTATGACGTTTTTTTAAAATTATTCGAAAATCACTATTTATCGTCCTTTATGGATCTTATGGATAAAAAGTCTTTAAATATTCAAGTTGAGTGACCTTTTGGATCCTTCCGAAAAAATTCCCCCATTTATGGTCCTGAAATGGTTTGGAAAATTATCTTTTAATATCCTTTATGGATCTTCATAAAATTGTTAGATAAAATCCAATTCTGTTGTAGATTTTTGGATGCTCTTAAAATAGTTTATGTTTATTGTCCTTCGTGGATCCTCTTATAATTGTTTAAAATAATCCACATTTGAATCTTCAACATTTTGTTTAAAAAATCTACGCTTATTATCGTTTACGGATGCTCCTTCGTGGATCCTACAATAATTATTTCGAAAATCGCAGTTTTTTGCCCTTATGTATCCTTCTGAAATCATTTGAAAATATCCACATATGGTGTCCTTTATCCATGCTTCTCAAATCACTTATAGAGTCCTTGCTCAGTGTCCTTTCCGGAGGCTGTTAAAATTGTTTAGAATTCTTTGTTTAGTACAATTTATAGATCTTTCTAAAATTGTTAAAAAAATGTTCTTTTAATGTGATTCATGGAGCACATAAAATTTTTCAAAAATCAAATTTCACTGTCCTGGGGAACCAAAACCCATATAGGTTTAAAATGAGATAATCTTTATTTATAAAAGAAAAGTTAAATAACTTACTGGATGACTATATGACAATAAATAAATAAATAAAAAAAACAAATAAAAAACAGTATTTTCAGCTGGACCGTACTTTGAATACCCTCCACCATTTGAAATGAATTTGGAAATTAAAAAAAAATTCATTCCGTTAATTTTTTTTAATCCGAATTTAGCCCTTATTTTGGGGTCTGTAGGAAGACATGGACCTGTATAGGCAACTTTTGAAATACAAAACTTGAAATAAAAAAACGGTAAATAGTGTAGCAAATCATCAAAATACCGAATTTAGGAAGGTACTGATATATAGGGCCTATACGAAGACCTGGACCTCCATAGACCATTTTCTGTCACAGACTTTAGTTCCCATTACGAACTCTAAACACGTAATTTTAAACTACTCCGGTCAGTAATGTAGCTAAAATCATCAAAATGCCAAATATAGGAGGTATTGTTATATGGGGCCTATACGAAAACCTGGATCTGCATAGACAATTTTCTGTCACAGGCTGGGGTATCCAATACGAATTTCATATACCAAATTTCAAACAATTCCATTGAATAATGTGGCTAAAATCATCAAAATACTCAATATAGGGAGGTACTGATATATGGTGCCTATACGAAGACCTGGATCTGGAAGATTGCTAGGCTGTAGTACCCATTACGAATTCTAAATTTGAAACAACTCCGATGAATAATGTCGCTAAAATAATCAAAATACCGAATATAAGGAGGGAGGCGCCTATACGAAGACGTGGGCTTTCGTTCGCAATTTTATGTTAAAATAAGATACCTGTAGCACCCATTAGGAATTCTAAATATGAAATTTGAAAAATCTCTGTTGAATAATCTTGCTAAAATCGTCAAAATATCGGATATTGGGGTGGGGGTTCAATTGTATGTGCGCTATACTATATCTTGGGCCCATATAGACAATTCTCTGCCAGGGAATAAAGTGCTTAGAAAGAACTTCTAGTATGGATTCTAAGACAATTCTATTCAAAAATGAAGCTAAAATCATCAAAATACCGAATATAGGGAGGTACTGCGATATTGGAGATATCAGATATCGAGGATATCTTTCCAGGGGATAAAGTACTCAGAAGGAATTATTTTTATTGTAAAATCATCAAAACACTGAAAATCGGGGGGTACCGTTATATGGGGGCTATACAATATGGTGGACCGATATAGCCCATCTTCAAACTTGACCTGCCTGTAGACAAAAGACTGATATGTGCAAGTATTTAGCTTCCTATCTTTAGTCGCTTTGACTCTAGCGTAATTACAACAGACGGACGGACGGACAGGGCTAAATCGTCTCAGAATTGTATGGTCTAAAATTATTATATTAAATTTTCAATAGAATTGTCCAAAAATCCACACAAAGAGTTCCTTTTGAGTACTTTACTCTCTGAAATTGGTACTACAGCCTATGACAAAAAATTACTTATGTAGGTCCACATCTCCGTATAAAGTTTTTCTTTAAGTGGTATTTTTTGACGCATTTTTTGAAATTTTTCAAGATCCTTAAAAATGGTTGAGGGTATTACTTGTTATGTGTAAAATTATCATTTCCATGAGTTACAAACGGAATGACGAACTTATTATACCCTCCATACTATGTATGATGGAGGGTATAAAAATTGAATACTTCGCATTGCACAAAAAGCATGAGACAGAATTCTTAAATTTCGAATAAGAGTCACTGATGGAGTGCAGGTGAAAATTTTTGTAGAAAGCATTTTTATGAACTTTCCGGCAAGAAAACATTTGAATGACTTGTTGGTCTAAAATAATGAGTCTGATTGTATTTAAAAACTTATCTGCCAAAAAAATGGCGCAAATATTTTTTTTAGGACATCCAGGCAAAATTCCTACATTTCTGCCCAGAAGTAATTAAATACTTTATAGGCATAGACTTATATATTTTTTTATTTTTAAAATCATTCACTTCAATTCATATGTTAAATACGAGGATACAACAATATCTTTAGAACCATCCATTTTCTTTCGATACCCACAAAGATGGGTTTGATATTTTCCCGCAGGTATATAAGTCGGTATGCTATCCTTGTCGAATTTGAAATTTCGAAATAAATAGACACTCTAAAGAAAACAAATCCAAATTAATCAACCAATAAATTTCTTAAAAATAAAATTACCTTACCTTGTAAAAGGGACAATCTGTGGAGAGATTGCCGTACTTAAATAAATTGCTAAGCCACACCTTTAACACTTCGATCTTGGAAGATTTTATGCGTTTTAGGGTGTCACACAAATCAATGTCATAGGAAAATATGCTGCGGAAATTTTTATTCGATCTCTGCCACAGACCCACACCCACAGTCAGCCACATATCACGGACATCCTGGCCGAATTCCACCAGGATATTCATGGAATCACGAGCCTTGCTGATGTTCACCTGAAATTGTCGCAGATATTTTGGATTTGCCTCATCCTTGGTGCCCAAGTAGTATATGTTGCGGGATTTCTGGAAATGGTGTTTGGAGGAGATATTAGTACTTGATTTATAATGACTTCCGTAGAACCAACCTTTTTGGCTGCCTGTGTTGGCAGGATTAAAAGCACCACAATGAAAAACAATTTCATGTGCATCTTTTTTTTATTCCAAAAACAAAAGGCCAAATATTTGTTTTGTTTTGATGACGAATCGGGAAACTATTTGACCCCGAAAGTAAAACGTCAATAAATATTTTTGTTGTTTTGTAAAAATAACAATATTGCTTTTTAATGATGGGGGGACAATATGAAATAATTATTTCAATTTATCGTCGATTAAAAAAACCGAAACAGATGTCTGCCTTATTGAAACACTATTGTACAGCATCAAGATTGGAAGAAATCAATGGAACTTTTTTTTTTGGGTACACAAGTACTACAGTGTTTTGCTAAAATGCAGCAGCATGTACCTCCACATAACCATCAAAATATGCTCTCAGTGGAGAGTACAGAGAGCAAAAAAAATATGACAACAAAATACAAACACACATTGAATGGGAGCATTGTGTTTGTTATGCATCACTTCAAAAAGTTTAAGAACCATGCAATGTTCATCCTACATATTTGTGCTTTCATGGATAAAATTCTCATTGACTTGGAAAAACTTCTGCCCTATAATGTAAGACTTCAAATTTGTTGAAAGTCATAATCAGGCAAAAGAAAGTTCTACGGAAAAGATTACATCGTACAGGAAACACTGAAAGGTATTCAACTCTTAAGGCAGTAATTCGCAACATCGATAAAATTGTCCAAGACGCAATTGCGGAATACGAGTCAGTTCAATGGGTACAATACCAGGTGCACGAACGTGCATATGTACAGTAGGGTTAAGACAAGACAAGAGTCCACATGACCATCAAAATATGCTCTCAGTGGAGAGTACAGAGAGTAAAAAAAAATGACAACCAAATACCAACACACATCGAATGGGAGCATTGTGTTTGTTATGTATCACATCAAACACGTTTAGAGCCATGCAATGTTTCTCCTAAACATTTGTGCTTTCATGGATAAAATTCTCATTGACTTGGAAAAACTTCTGCCTTATAATGTTTGATTTTTAATTTGTTGGCACAAGAAAGTTCTACGGAAAAGATTATATCGTACAGGAAACTCTGAAAGGTATTCAACTATCAGGGCGGAAATTCTCAACACCGATAGAATTATCCAAGGCGCAATTGCGGAATACGAGTCAGTTCAATAAGTACAAAACCAAGGGCACGAGCCTATTTGCAATTGGGTGTAAGCAGCCCTGCTCAAAACCGTGTTGTAGAACATGAGACGAAAAAAGAGATAATTTAAGAGAAAATTCAAATTCTGTTTTTCTTTATATTTTACTATTCCATTTAATTGTTTTTAAACATGAATGTTTGCCAAAAATAATCTATAAAGCAAATGGATAAAAAAATATTTGTATAAATAATGACTTAACGCCGTTTTGTTCTTGATTTAAAAAAGCAAGGAAAGATACATTTTTTTCTTGAGCATCGCTGGTTTAGGACAGCTGCTTGTATTCAATACTAGGTCAAAATCCAAGATGTCATCGGCTACGAAGTGGTCACGGCAGTCGTGTTTAGCTGAAGAGGCTGACATGTTAGCGAACGTCGTTCAAGGACACTTCAATGGTGGCGATTCTACTTTTTCGGTAATATTCTTAGAAATTATGTATAATGATACGTCTCCTTTAGTGACATTTGCAGATCGCCTAACTGCAGATGGATTCATAAAGGACAAGAGATAGCGACTTAATAAATTCCTCAAACCACCAAATATCAGGGTAAACAAGTGAAAAAGCTATAAGTTCGCTCGGGCCAAACTTTTAATACCCTCCACCATTTGGAAAGAAATTGGCACTTTTCAATAAAAAAAAATAAGAAAATAATAAAATCCGTTAGAAGAAATAAATAAAATCCGTTAAAATTCTGTAAAAATCTTAAAAATACCGAATGTAGCCTTTATATTACGGTCCATATGACAACTTTTTTCATAAGCCATTACAATATTCAAATCCGAAACTTGAAAAAAAATCGGTGAATAATGTAGCTATAATTATAAAAATATCGGATATAGGGAGATACAATTATATGTTGGCTATACCAAAACGACCTGCACAGTAATTTTCTGATATAGGTTTATTCATTACGAAATACCGAATATCGGGATGTACCGCTACATGGGGGCTACACGAAGACATGCACCGACAATTTTCTGTCATAGGCTGTCGTATCCATTACGAACTTCAAATACCAAATTTGAAATAATTCCTGTAAATAATGTCGCCAACATCATCAAAATACCGAATATCGGGAGGTACGGCTTTATGTGGGCTACACGAAGACAAGGACCTGCACTAACAATTTTCTGTCATAGGCTGTAGTATCCATTACGAACTTCAAACACCAAATTTGAAAGGATTCCGGTCACTAATATCATCAATATACCGAAAATCGGAAGGTACCGTTATGTGGGAGCTATACGAAGACGTGGACCTGTACAGACAATTTCCTGTCTCAGGTTGTAGTATTCATTACGAACTTCAAATACCAAACTTGAAACAATTCCGCTGCATAAAGTCGCTAAAATTGTCAAAATACTGAATATCGGGAGGTACCGTTATATAGGGGCTACACGAAGACGAGGACCTGCACGGACAATTTTCTGTCATAGGCTGTAAAGTCCATTACGAACTTCAAATACCAAATTTGAAACGATTCCGCTCCCTAAAATCATCAAAATACCAAATTTCGGAAGGTGCCGCTATATGGGGGCTATACGAAGACGTGGTCCTGCACAGACAATTTCCTGTCTTAGGCTGTAGTATCTATTACGAACTTCAAATACCTAACTTGAAACAATTCCAGTGCATAATGTCGCTAAAATTGTCAAAATACCGACTATCGGGAGGTACCGTTATATGGGGGCAATAGTTATCACATATCTCATCTATAGTGAGGGAAGTAACCAATGTAGTCCAAATCTGACACGTCGCAATATTTATATCATATTTATTTAGGTCCGATACGAAATGAACAATATTGGCTCATTCCTTCGGAAACAACTCCATAGAGGATCAAACATTTGAATAATCATAACAGAAGTGAATATATATTTAAATAATCGAACATTGACTGAGGGTATACATCTGTCGGCAAATCCGACTAATAGTTTTTAACTTGTTTTATCTCAATTCAATTATCATATAGGCGTCGGTGATTACATCCTTGGAACCATCCTCCTTCTTTTCGTACGGATTGAGATACACTTAAAATTTTCCATTTGGGGCAAAGCCTGGTATACTGTCCCTATCCACTTTTAGATTACTAAAATAATATGTACCCTAGAAATGAAAACCATTTTCATTAAATTTATAAAACCAACTGCTTCCTTTAGCAGTTCCATCTTACCCGATTAAAAGGACATTGCTTGCTGCCACTTATTCAGCAATTGAATTTTTGACGTCTTCAGTCGCAGCAGCATGTCACACAAATCAAGGTCATAGGTAAACATTGATTGGAATTGCTTCGTGGACTTCTGCCACAGAGCAACGCCTGCCGATGCCCAGACATTTGTTATATCATGGGCAATTTCCAACAGGACATTCATGGAATCCCGACGGCTACTAATATTGACTTGTATGGATTTAAAGTATTTGTTGCTATAATCGTTTTTGATTTCAAGAAAATGCACTGAACGGGATTTCTGGAAAAAAGGAAAACATTGGAATTTTTATTCGAAAGCTTAATATTGGATATGAAGAAGTTACCTTTTTGTTGGCCCCCTGAACTGGCAGAATCAGTAGAATTACATAGATCACAATATAATTCATTTTCATTGTTCGGTGCAATTGTTTAACATGAAAACAAATTTATGTATTTTGGAGTACTAACTCTCATGCTTGTTGTGTACCTAAATCCAATTAAAAAGTAATCAAAATTGAAATAAATGTAGAATACCATGAAAACATAACAACAATTTTTTTTTTAATATTACCCCTGGACTTTCACCCTTATAAGCAACTTAGTCTTACCTTCAAATGACTAATAGATTTTTTTTACAGTGGGCCAAAATGATGTTGGAAAAATATTTTGAATTTAATAATACAGTTTTTAGTGGGATGTTGAAAAATATTTTTTTTTTCATAAAAATTCAAGCGTATAATTTTTATTGAAAATATTTTTTTTCAATGAAAATTCAATCAGGTATCTTATAAGAAATATAAATCCAATAAATTTTTTGATAATGGAGTGGAAATCTGACGTGAAAGTTTGAAATTTGATAAAAAAAAATATTTTTTTAATAAAATTCAATAGTGCTATTTAAAAAATATCTTTGGCAAAAATTCCAATGGAATTTTTAATAAAATATGCTTACTTTAAATGAATAATAGATTTTTTCACAGTGGGCCAAAAACTGTTTATTTCATTTTTCATCCGACGTTTCGTTAGGATTTCAAAAATTTTAACGTAAAAACAATATGAAATAAATATTAAAAAAAATCTTAAAAAACTTTTTTTTTCAATAAAAATCCAAGCGTGGATTTTTTATAAAATATTTTTTTTTTAAATAAAAACTCGAATATTTTTTCAATAAAAATCCAAACGTGGACTTTTTATAAAATATTTGTTTTCAAAATAGAAACTCGAATATTTTTTTCAATAAAAATCCAAACTTGTATATTTTAAAAAATATTTATTCGATAAAAATTTAAATATTTTTTCAATAAAAATCTAAACTTGAATTTTTTAAAAAAAATATTGTATCAATGAAAATTCAATTAGTCACTAAAAATTCAATAGTGCACTTTAAAATAAAATATTTTTTGATAAAAATGTCAACGTGGATTTTTTATAAGAATATTTTTTTAATAACACTTTGAAAGTGGATAATTTTTTTTTCCAATAAAACTCCAAACATAGGTTAACAAAATATTTTTTTAATAAATACCCAAAGGTGAATTTCTTTATATTTATTTCATTTCGTTGATTTTTTTTTCAAAAATATTTATTCAATAAAAATCCAACCGTGGATTTTGCACAAAAATATTTTTACAATACAAATCCAGCAGTGGATTTTTTTATAAATATTTCTTCAATGAA